AATTAAAATCATGCATGTATTATTAATGTTAAAAATAAAAATAAAATAATTATTTTTCTATACAAAGCAGTGAAAAAAATATGTAATTTAAGAATTCATTTCAATTTTATAAATCTCCAAATTAAAATCATGCATGTATTATTAATGTTAAAAATAAAAATAAAATATTTATTTTTCTATACAAAGCAGTGAAAAAAATATGTAATTTAAGAATAGTATTAAGTTTTAGAAATAATAAAATTTAAATTATAATATTGATTGTTATAAATTAAAATTAAAATCTTGATCAATGTAAATTAAAATTATTATCTTAATTAATTGTGACATTTGACAAAGAATTTAAATTTCAAAAACAAAATATTACAAAAAACAAAAATATATGTATTATATTTAATATTTTTCAAAAGTTTAGGTGACAATTTGTCAACAGCTAAAAAAAAATTTCATTAGTCAGTTAACGGAATATTTGTCAAGTAGACCATTTTAAAATAAAATTGATAGTTTATAAATTATTTTGAAAGAAAAAATTATTTTTAAATTAAACTGAAATAAATCACATAGTTAACAGACTATTTATTGAATTTAACCAAAAATATGTATACTAATTGCTCTCGTTCAAAGAAAACAAAGGTTGGTCAAATATTTCAAATACTGTTTAAAAAAATAAAAGTTGGTCAAATGAATTTTTACTAACTTCTAGATTTTACACTAATATTTACTATTTAAACTTCTTTGATAAATTCTATAGTATCAATTTCTTAAGATTATCTTTTAATGGACTTTGATTATCTTTTTGCAAAAAAAATTATTTAAAGAATACTTTTATAAAAGTTTCGATTAAAAAATGAGAAAAGAAAAAAATTAACATGTTTTGATTTAAAAGTGTTAAAATATTTAATAATAATTATATGATAAATTTAAGAAAATTAAAGTTCATATCATACTGTGCATAACATATTGTGTAATTATTATTAAATATTTTGATTTTTCCTTTTTCCAAACAAAAAACGTTACGTAGTCCTCTCCATCCATGTCTTGGCCCTAGTTGAACAGAGGAATAAGACGGTAATTATAACTTAACGTCACGTACCCTCCCACATTTGATTTATCAATGAAATATATATATATATATATATATATATATTGAAACCCAACAGAAACCCAAAAGCAAGGTTTTGAAAACCTGATTGGATCGGTTGAACGGACCGGTATCCGGTAGTCTAAATGATTTGGTTACACCCTTCAAACTGTTTAGATAATTAAACCATTTAAAACCGCTCAAACCGTTTGACCGGTCAGTTCAATGATTGGGCATAAAATCTTGAGAAATTTATCTCCAGTGGGGTTTGAACTTGCAACCTTGAAGTCTTTATGTTGATCCTTTGCCACCGGGACAATGCAATCTTTTGGTCAATGGGTGCTTGCAGTGTTATCTATTCCGTTTCGTATCGACCGGTATGGCC